TTACCAAAAAAATGTAACTTCGTTACCGTTACAGTTACCAAAGAAAAAAAGTAACGCAGTTACTAGTAAAGTTACCAAAAAAGTAACTTGTAACTGTAACCTCGTTACAAGTAACGAGTTACTTCCATTCCCTGCTTTTATCACAATTAAGTATAGGAATGCAGAGATAGAAGTATAGCACGAAGAGATAAGGTTAAAAACGATATACAGTCTTGCTGTTGACTACATTGCTGATTGAGTTAATCGTCGATTAAGTTAATTGACGTTAGTAACAATCGCCCTCAGAGAGAGAGATGCTTGCAAACTGCACACACCATGTTATCCCTTCTACCATGCCATGGTTCAGACCAAAGACGTAGAATGCGGTCCACTTGGCGCTACAAACGCTTCAAGCGTTTTCACTTTCATATGCTTCTATAGAACGGTCCATTAGCACTACTAATGCTGCCAACAGTATGCGAATGGACCAATTTTTGAAGCGTTTTGAAGCGTTAGTACGTATTTTGTAATTATGGATAAAATGAAAGTCATGCTAACGTGCGCTGTGAAGTTTTTTCAGAATCGCTTACTTATATTTATGATGAAGATAATAGCATCCTCTTCGGAATCTCTCTCTCTCTCTCTCTCTTCTAGATTATGAATCATTCCAGTATCTCCTTCATGTAACCTTATAATCGGCATAGTTTATACAATTTTTATTTTTAATAATGTAATACACACAATATACCATACAGCACGATTTGTAGTAATATATGTAGCACGATATATAATAATATGTAAATTTAAAAATCAGCTTTACAGATATACTTTCGTTCGTTTATTATTATGCTTTCCCGCGCTTTGTATATTCAAACTAAACGCGTCAGTTAAGGCTGCGGTCCACTTAGCGCTTCAAACGCTACAGAGCATTTGTAGCACTGATATGACTGGTCCATTTGATGCTTCGGAACGCTCCCAGCAACTCTGATTACGTCATCAATACGTCATCGTTTTTGTTCCCACTTCGCTTCAACTGCCTCACCTCGGGAGGTGGGTTGGCTGGAGCGTTCACGTAGCAATTGTAGTATTCGAAATAGTAATGGACCAATCGGAGCGTAGCGTTTGGAGCATAATGTTTAGAGCATTTGGAAGAAGCAAGTGGACCGCAGCCTAAACTACCTCTCCAAAGAAGAAGCATTGGAAGCAATTGGAAATAAGGTGGAAGTGGAAACCTGTGATGTATTAATGACGTCATACGTGCTATTCGGACACATTCGAAGCGCCATGTGGACCGGTTAAAACAATGCTCCAAACGATTCGAAGCATTTGTAGCGCCAAGTGAACCGCACCCATAGAGAATGCGCGATCTGTATCTAAGTAATGTATCAAATGTGGTCGACAATAATGAGAGAGAGGGACCATGGGAGACGGTCAATCTCCCTCTCATTCTCTCTCCCATTACACCATTGAATGGAAAGAGATAGAAATGGCCGTCTGCCATGGTCCCTCTCTCTCATCCCTATTGACCATTTTGACACACGGATCGCGCAGTCCATTCTCTATGTCTTTGGTCCAGACCCATAAATACGCACGACGACAATATATTAATATTATCTCTTCCTTCATTCTCTTTCTTTAACATTCTTATAATAAGAGTTAAGACAATGAAGTAACGATTTTTGATTGGTTACCTGGTTCTCAAAATGAAAACCGACACTTGATATTCGTCAAATATTTATTAATTCGATTGAACAATATTAATTTGACCACGTGATCCTCCTTTTTGTCAAAACAACCGGTTTGAGTGGCTAGTGAAATTGTACCTTGAAGGTACGTTTGGATAGAGAAAAAAGAAGCGAAATAGAACAGTAATGGAAAGGAAACCGGATGGAGAACTAACCAATCATAAGGAGTCTGATTATGAAAAAGAGGGACAGGATTATTCTGATTGGATAACCTCACGTCGTGTTTTCTTTATGTTGTACTATCCATTCTTCTTTTTCTGCACAGCTCTTATTTTAAGACTCCCTTATTTCATTGTACTGTACCCCATGACATAGAGGACTAGAAATCCTTACAGGAGACTTTTAGGAAGAAGAAAAAATGACCATCTTAAGTAATGTCTTAAGATGCTAATATTGTTTTGTGATTGGCTTATATCTTAAGTTGAATACTGTATTTAAGACGTACAGTTTTAAATACAAAAAGAACCAACTATATGAATACCAGCCCTAATATTTTATTATATAATGTCTCTATGACATTCTATTCTATATTTCTATGATATATTTACTCGATCATATTTTGAGCAATATATTTTAAAATACTAAAAAATACGTCTCTGCGATTAATTTAATTTGTGGGTTTTAAATACTTATAATATGTAAGAACAAACTATAATAAATATTTATTACAATTTTATAAAATATTTTCGAATTTATAACATATATAAAAAAGATACCGTATATTATTTCGAATTTCTCAACATTTCTGGAAAGTATTCCAATTTGTACAAAAAATTTGAGAAATTTTTTTAAAAGTTATAAAATTATATAAAGAATTTGTAAAAAATTATGAAATTTATATAGAATCCTTATATGTATAAAGAATAAGTTCATCGAGTCTGTCACGTGGTCGATGACGTACGTTTATACATGCGCATAAAGCACTGCTCCGTTCTGTCGGTCTGACAGTGTGATTGTGAGGAAGCAGGAACTTATCTTCTAGTGGCTCCAGTGCTCCAGTATTGCGTGATCTGTCAATTAGCGAGTCTGACGATCTCGCGTGGTTTTTGCCGACGTCATTTTACTGTGATGCTCATCGAGTTGCGATGTCCCTCTTCGTACAGTTCGGCACCGTACTATTTGGCGTGCTCTCCTTAACTCTGACTATGTCGTCGGCCAATGGTTTCTCTTACGAAAATCTGCCCGCGGTCGCGATGGACTACAAGGTGCACGTTGACGCCGGCAAGGAGGACTGCTACTTCCAATATGTAAATCCGGGCGCGACATTTTACGTCAGCTTTCAGGTACTATCGGTTTGGATGTCTCAACGGCGAGCTGTGGCGAACCGTTTCAGATGATAAGAAATTGGATGAGTATTGGAATGCGACTCGCTTGGTTGACCATATGGTTGCGTGGAGTTGGAGACAATTTTTATTTGAGATATCTTCCTCTATATAACTCGGAGAGGAGCATACAACTTACGAGCATTTTGCTCATGCACGTTTGCAAATTTTATGATTGTCCATCATGCTGTGAAAAACGTGATTTTGTTTTGTTTCCCAGGAGATGTATATCTGTAAAAAGAGTACAACTTTCACTTTTTCGTGACTATTCGGGGATCGGTTTATTTTTACATTTTTTAATGTATTTTTCTTCATAGAAACCGATAATAATTATTGCAATAATGACTTAAGAAAAAATTGGTATTTGAAATAAAAAATAAAATCTTTATTCACAATTGTTACACAAAACCGCTGTTAGTATAAAAACTAATTTAAAGTTATTGATCTAACTATAAATATATATATATATATATATGTATATATATATGTGTGTACAATTTTTAAATGATTGAAGCGTGACTGATAGCTATTTCGTGACAATGTAAATAAGAATTTTATTAACTTTATATCAATATACCAATCTTTCCTTGAGTGTAGCGTCATAATGATAATTTTCGATTTCCATGAAAAAAATACATAAGAAAATGTAGAACTAAAATGATCCATGAATAGTGATCAAAAAGTTGTACTCTTCTTTTGTAATTTTGTAAGACATTGAAATTGATAATCTTGATCGTATGCAAATAATTATTTTATGTCTCACATACATAAAATTTTTTAAGAATTTTTTATTAAAAATTGCATTTGAAAGACTTTAGTAACAGAGTAAATAGACTATAAGAAAAAGTATGTTGCATAGACACAATGTTGGAATAATAGAAAATAATTGATATATGGCTATATCAATATTATATTGATTCGAGCAGTTTGTTTTAATTGTAGGTCTTGCGTGGTGGAGATGGCAAAGCTGGTTTTGCAGTAAGAAATCCAGAAGGAGTTATAGTTTATCCTTATCAATGGCGCCCTAACGCTGATTATCAGGATCAATCGTTAAATGGTGGTTATTATAGCGTATGCATTGATAATCAGTTTTCAAGATTTGCTGCAAAATTAATCAATTTGTACATCACAGTGATTAGGTAAGACAACTAATTTAACAAAAATATAGGATGTAGTGTTAGAAAAATAGAGACATAGTAAAGTATATCTATTATTTTCACACACAATCTGTTAGTCACAATCACAGTCTGAGATAGAGTGATGAATGAATAGAAACCTTAACTGTGTTGTAGATATGATAAGTGGCAGAAATATACACAGGAATTAGAAGAACTGAATCTTTCTGTAGAGAACTTTACGGTATGTGTATCATATAAACTTTTGTAAGCGTTACAAGTATAAAAATTGTATTACAAATTAATTTATATATTAGTATATATGTATATATAATGTAATACATATTACTAATAAATATATATACATGTTATATATATTGTGTATATTATACATATTATGTATACATATAATATAATATATAATTAAAAATATATAACACATTATATATTATTAAAATATAGTAATAATAAGGCTCAATAAATTAAAAAAATGAAAGAAAAAGGGCTACGAGCCTAAGAGTTAGTCGTTGGAAATAGAAATTTTAAAAATTCACACTATAAATATGTCATTTAGTCAGAATATAAAACTTTAATGTGCCGGCAATAAACAATATAACACAAACGAACGTTTCGATCCCTGTTCGATCATTATCAATGTTAAATGCACAAAAATAAAACGGTGAAAATATTACAAAGTTAAAATATTTAACGTTTGTTTGTGTTATATTGTTTATTGCCGGCACATTAAAGTTTTATATTCTGACTAAATGACATATTTATAGTGTGATTTTTTAAAATTTCTATTTCCAACGACTAACTCTTAGGCTCGTAGCCCTTTTTCTTTCATTTTTTTATTATATTATTATATTATTATTATTATTATCTTTCTCTCTTTCAGAGTACAATCGTGAATGTGGAGAAAAATATTAATGAGATGCTCCATACTCAACATTGGAGCAGAAGTAGAGAAGCAAGAGATTTGAATCTACTGTTGGACAATAATTCTTATGTGCAAACATGGTCGATCGCGCAAGTAGCTGTCATTACGTTGACGACTATGATCCAAGTGTATTTCGTCAGAAAATTGTTCGACGTGAAACCGTCTGGACATTCCAAGACACGCATTTAATACTGATGTATTGCAGTCAATTGTTTGCTCGATAAGAGTACGGTTCAATACATGTTGTGATAAGTCTATCAATTGATCAATATCGTAATCGGTTTATAGATAATGGCATAAATTATAAACGACTTGATTAATGAATTTTTAATTTTGAATACTTTATTCATTATTAATTGATATGCTTATATATTATTTTTATTCCATTATGTAAATTCGTGTGCAATGATTTTTTAGAGACTATATGAACGTCAAAAATATGATGAGATACAAGAAATTCAAAAATTTTTTGGATATATATTTTTTTATGAGTAAATATATTTGATCTTATAAATATATTTGAACGAACATTAGTCTCAAATAAATGGAAACAAACTTTTAATTCGCGAAAATGTAATGAAAAATTCACGTCGATTTACTTTCTATCGAAGTTAATATATTATTCATATCAATATATGTTAAATGCATTGTTTTTTATAATATTTAGTAAGTTCTACATAATTGCAGAATATTTCTTTCATTATTATTTAATAATAAAAATCTTATGATATATTCATAAGTTGAGAACACCTTTTATACAAGGTGATTCATTTTAATCTTAACAGACAAATATCTCGTACAAATGTAATTTTATCAGAAAGACATATTAAATAAAAATTATATAATATACAAGATAAGAATGAAACTTTTGTTGGGAATGTTTTTCGATAAAATGGTATATATCCGAAATATTTGCCTGTTAAGATTAAACACTCTGTATATTATATAAGACTGCCTTACGCATTTGTAAAAACTGCATTTTCAACATTCATCACAAACTGTCTTTTATTCACTTTTGTGTTTTCAACTTTTTTAATTTCAAACATTCTCGTACTTCAAATCGAAGATATTTAAGAATAAAGAAATATATGAAATAACGTTTATATTGTATTTGTATAAAAATAATAAATGACTCATACTTTTGTTACAACATTCTTTTTTTCCTTTCTCCACGCCTTTATATACAATATACATGTAAGATATAAAATATATCATTATCTCTCGTGTCAGCTTTTTGTAGCTTCAGTCTACTACAATAAAAAATTTTTTTTAATCGTTTTTCACTTTGATGATTGATGTTACATTGGCACATAAGTCAAGGGATGCGTTCCGAGTTTCGCATGAAGCGCATAATGCATCATTTGTCCTTGCTGTTCACCAAATAATAAAGAAGGATAAAACGATACATCATGCGCTTCATGCGTAACTCGGAACGCACTCAAGGTATTTCTCTACTACAATCGCGCTAGAAAATTAATCGCGTACAACCTATGAATAAGCCTCTCCGCGCGTGCTCTCTGAAGAGAGAAACTTTTGAGGCGAACGTACACACACACGCATAAATGTCCTATCCAGACTAGTGTGCACGAACATTAGTCTGCACCGAAGACAATTGAAATGTGGCAGCAATGTCCCTATCTTGCTGCTCGACGTGCGAAAAAGAGAATTCCATCGAATTGTAAATTTAAGATACTTTGATTCAAAAACGGCACACACCGCTAGGCCTCTCGATTTTTTTTTATAAGGTTCCTATAATATTTCTACATTACATATTTATTTAAAAAAAAATCTAGAAACTCAATTTCTCGGAGAAATACCTTAATTGAAATATTCAATACTGAAATATCGTAGAAATCGTGTATATATAACAAATAATTTATTAACGATCACAATATCTGAGTGATTCGAGCTCAGATCACATTTTAATTTCATCAGTGAATCCCCTAATTCCCTTGTCTTGCTCTTCTTTGCTGTATTACACTGTTGCTGAGTGCTAAAAGACGATGTCGTTGCTTCAAATTTCGTGCGCGCACGTGTTCCGATGCAACCTCCTTCGTGTGATTTGCCGGAAACCATCCTTGCTCGCCGTCTAATAGTTTTTCACCGTGATACCAGCCATCTGCCATTTTTCTCAATACGTTTATTACGTCTCCTAGAGAATATTTGAAAGTTCATTAGAATCATGATTTTTTCATTGTAATATATTTTAGTATATAGTTACTATTATATAGTTATAATTAAATTAAATTATTGAATTATTGAGCACTATAAGAGAAAACGTTTTTTGAAGAATCAAATTTTGTGAGAAACTAGAGTGTATTTCTGAATTTTCAATTATATATTTTCTAATTACTTTATATATGTATGTACATACATATATATATATATAGGAGATATTTTAGAAATTAAATTTTATATTTAATTTGCAAATTTATGAAACTCTTTAAAGAACATAAGAAAATATTGTTTTTTTTCTTTTTTTTAAAACCAAAACAGTTCTATTGATAATATCAATTTAATAATATATACGGAACATTTATAAAAAAGATTATGGCGTAAATATATTACCTGATTGTAACGACAGCTCGTCAGGTTGATTTGGCAAATATGGATATTTGGCCATAACTTGCGGGCAGTCCCAAGATTCATATAACGTTTCTCCAACTAAACCACGTTTGGGTGGTGAGACAGCCTCCAGCCATCGTTCTCGTTCTGTGTTATTGTCACATGTTAAGATGTATTCTACGTGGCGACTGCAATGGTTCTCCAGAAAAGTCAGTATCATAGCGTTCCGTCCGGCGAATGGCGATTCTTCGGAAGCCGACTCTAGAGCCAGAAGATTCCTTTTGCACGCGTCTATGACGGTGTAGCATTCGTCATGAGCACTGCAAAGTATTTTATTTTAAATTTCGTTCTTATTAATGGAAGAATTTATTCGAAAAAGGAAACCTATAGAAAAGATATTGTAAAGTTTTTATAGTATAAGTTGTATTCCTAAAGATCTATTTATTCGAGTTTTTTCTACATAAAGATAAGGCGTCTGAAAAACAACTTTTAAAACAATATTCAAAGATTTCATAAAAATCTAAACGTAAGATATTTCAAAGACATACAAATGTCTTTCAAATGATAATTCCATAAGACATCTTCATAATTTTAAGATGGTCTTGCTGTTTTTAATAATATCTCGTTGATATATACTGAACTGTATTATCCCTTGAAGGATATAAATCTTCTAACAATAACAATAAATAAGTTAAATAAAATCAGCTCAATTTTCTAATTTTCTAAAAAGCAAAGGTTTACAACTCTCTCTCGTTTTCATAAAAATTATAATTGTAATAAAATTGATACACACATTGATGTAATAAAAGGTTTGGTAGAAACCAGGATTATAATGCAACGAAACAAACAAGCGCAATTATGTTAAATAATATCTTACTTAGATTTCAATTTCGTGACTAGAAGATAATCAGTGAGTAACAAAAGATAGAGTGGTGTCTTGGTAAATTTCTTTCCGAATGTGAGCTTATATTCAGTGTCCGTTTTCGTCGACAATTGCACGACCGATCCACGTCGAACTAACTGCTTGCCTCTCAGCATGATTGGTTTAATTTTCGAGGTATACTCCAGTTTTCTGTGATTAAAGACTTATTTCATAATACATACATGTAAAAGAATGAATGTATAATATTAAGTAATAATATAGCGTACAATACCTTGCCAAAGCTTCCATTTCGGCTTCCTGTGCAGCAGCTCGCGCACCTTCATTGCATTCAGCAACGACGTTACTCAAAGTCGATAAGACCTTTTCCCAAGATATTCTGTCCGAATTTCCCATTGATAATTTGGAAAGAATGGCGTCAGCTAATAAGGGCAGTCTACGCAAAATTATTGACGTGTAAATAATATCTTTAATTCTACGTAACTCGATTAATAATAATTACATAAAATGCAAAATTAACATACAATAAACTAAATAAACTTTAATATGACAGTAATTGTGAATCCAGACAACATGTCCAAAATTGGAACACAAGGCGTCTTAAAGAAGATTATGTGATATTCATATCATATTATACCCACCTTGTAACACGCTGCATTGGTAGCATTAGGAAGGAATGTAGAGATAGATTTTGGCATGCCGGTTGCATTTCTATACGTTTGATAGTCTCCAAGAACTTTACACCTTTTCGAGCTCTGAAATAGAATAAATATAATAACTATTACTATGTCGAACAAAAATATATTTTATCTAAATTTGCTACAAAATACAAATATAAAATGCGATTTTATGACATCGCTAATTATCTTACTTGAGTTCTTTCAGGGTTGTGTCTATGCTGACTTGATTCGAGCAATACGCTACGTACGTGGCCTGACACTTTTCGGCGTGTTTCAGCAAGACTTCCGATAAACCCGGCAACATCGGATCTTCTCTCCACACAGCTTCTAATTCAGCTAGGAACGTTTGCGATGCCGACAATACGCTTGGCACCCCACCAAATAATTTCTTTCTTTCGATCGGCGTTAGAATCTCATTTATTAGTATATGATTATTGAGGAACTCATTCTCTAGGACTCGAAGAGAATTTAAGTACGACGCTTCGGAAGTCAAGATCTCAAACTTCGCTTCTTGAATCTTCTTCTCTTCCGGTGTAAACTTCTCTAATATTGAAATTTTTTTGCTAATTTTTTTATGATATCTTCTTATTCTCAATATACTTTACTACATATGAAAAATATTTTTCTAATTAAATGTACATTATATTGTTTAACTTACGTAAGAGGCCACTGTGTATCACTTGTGGAGTATGACACCAGAGCATTCTTTGCCCTGCTCTGGTAAGATCCGCGGTGGCTGGTTCCGTCTTCCTCATCATATCTTCTACCTGTAAAATGAAAAATTATATAGCAACGTCGTGTAAAGTAGCACCATGTTGTTCAAATTTTATAAATCGTAAAATACAAAAAATAATTTGTCACCAATCAAAAAATAATTTGTCAAAATCATATAGTTGTAAATAGTTTTTAAAAAGTTTTAAAATTAAAAATTGTTTTAGTAAACCATGCAATACAAAAAATACAATAAAATATAAGAAAGAAGAATCAAAACTTTTATTTTTTAAATAACTATAAAGAAAATAAGAATTCTTATTAATTCTTCTTAATTGAAGACAGTAATATAATAATAAAACTCAAGACAAGAAAGAATAGATGCTAAAACTCGTGCGCTAATTTATAAGAATTTAAAATTAATAAAAAAATCTTGTTACATTATACATATAATTAAGAATACATTAACA